GAAGTAAAAAGGAAAGGAAAAGCACCCTTGTTTATTAATAGCACTCTCCAAACATAAATACATCTTTCTAAAAGATGTCCATTCACTAGAAAAGAGCTTCTCACCCCAAACTCAGTTAAGAAAGTACTTTATCTCGTTTCACGGGGGTGACTCCAACAGGTTACAAGACGCTTGAATCGTCTTCACGGCTGCTACCCCTAAGGAAACACCATCCCTTTACATCTTGGTCGTTTCCTGAGCCCCAAGTAAGTCCACCCTCGGCTGAGTTTTCTTAGCCCCTTCACGGACGAAGAACTTCCCTCAAAGATTTTCCGGGCTACGGGGCGCGGATAAGGAACCTGTTGATGGAAAGAAACAAGCGGCGGGGGATGAAAGAGAGAAAAGAAACGAAACGCGTTTTCTTACGACGATACCAAGGTCTGTCCCACCCCCCTGTAGTACTTTCTCGAGACTACGTCCTGCTATCCACGAAACGCCCTCGAGGGAACAAGATATCAACTTGTTGCTGTCGGGATTGAGCGTGGGCCAAGGATCTACGGAGTCGAGCTTTTTATTTTATTATTTAGAGACGGCACGCGAAACCGATCCCCTTTACTCGTCCCGTTTCTTTTCTCCCTCCGTGGATTAGGAACGCTTTGTTTCCCATTAACCCTCGAACAGCCGAATCTTTGCTGATCCAACGTATGATTTTCAGGGTTAAATCTAACACTTTGATTGCCTTTGTGAAAATGGCGATATTTTATGAATAAGTGGTTTATTGAAGTTTATATTCAATTTTTAGTCGAAAATGGCAATGACCATTTTTGTATATTTTGTCATGGAGAATTTACAATTTTTGGATCGATATCCTAAAATGGCCAATTAGAATATTGTTGAAAATATTTAATAGGATTGTTATATAATAGTTACTTAACCCTATAGAACGCAGATATTGATTAAATTGAATAGAGACAAGGTATTGTCAGGATTGAAAGATCCTTGGAACAGCAGAAACATTTCGTGACAAGTGGTTGCTTCTGGTAAACTTCTCACCAGGAATTCCCAGGACATGCATCCATTCGGAAAACACTTGTTGAATATCGAACTAAGATTGCTCGAGCTAAGAAGCCACTTGTTGCTTCGTCCTTCCTGTAAGGAACTTGCAGTCCCGTTTCAGGATACTTAGCCTTAACAGCTGGATCAGTTCCACCCTCTTTTGATCCTCGACTCTTCTTCTTCTTGGTTGAAAACTGATCGAACGTGCGCCAGATTCGATTCGTTCAGACAAGTTTTCGAAACTTTTGTCCAAATTTTAAAAATAAAAAGAAAAATGAGTCGAGACTTTGAATAGCGCAGAGATAAAAGGATTTTGTAATTTTTTATTTCTTTTCATAACAAAAAAGGATTATTCTATTTTTCTATCTATTTTTCTTATCCCGATTCTATCAAATGTCTGAAAGTTAAGATTAATGGAACTTTTATTAATCTTTAGGCGTGTTTCATAACAGATACGTAATTGTAGCTTTGCTAAGGACGCCACTAATCCCTCGGTTCTTCGATTGAAATAATCCATTAGCATTGCAATGATTAGATGAAAGGGGCGTCTCCTGAGACAGGGGCCACGTGTTTCTAGCACTGTTCCAGACACACGTACAAGTTGCACGCACGACACCAGCTTAATCAATCGCACGACCTATCGGACACTAACTTTAGACTGAGCAGATCATTCCTGAAAACGTATATATCTTCGCGATTGTTTTCCATTTGTCATTTCAAAAATGACAATAGCGTCAAATGCAATTAACTCGTTAAAAAGATATCTAACCTTCAGAGCCTAAAGACATATTTATTCCCTTGAAATAACAGCTACATTTTCAATTTATTATTTCAAATGAAATTACTATCGTTACATCGCAAATTATTTAGATGGGCTCGTTCACTCAGATATTTACCGAAACAACAAGTTGCGTGACAGAAAAACATCCAGCTCCTCCTAGAACGAATTAATGAATTTCCAGCGAGTTAACGCATTGAATGACGGAACTTGAAAAGAAAAAATGCAAGCTCACCCCGAGGAGTTGCAACATGATTAGATTCTGCCACGTGCCTATTGTGCCACCCATCGACGTAACGCCCCTTCCTATCCACGTGCACGCGTACGGGTATCATTCATGCGTGTCAGTGTTTCGATCGAGCAAGGACCGTAAGACGCAGAACTGTAATCTTGCAATGCGTCATACAGATGAAAACGATAATTTACAGTTCAATTGCCACGTCAATAATGGATGCAAAGTATTTAGAAAGAGTTAGATTCGTGAAGTACCCGCAATCCCCGCAGCTAATTCCGTATCGAATAGCGAGGTATCGTAACGAGGTTTCGTCGAGGGGCGGTCTTCTAATCGCCTAATCGTCGTGGAACACGATGCAACTACCCTTCGATCATCGTCGACGCGGTTTCGTCACCGAGGGGGAGCATCTGATTGACGATCGCGAAGAAAAGTAAGAACTGACCGAGATTGAAGAGAAAAGGAGTGAGATAGAAAGATCAATCTTAACAGGGCCAGGTTTCCCATCGAGACAAGACTATTTGATTTTCAACCCCATCGTCCCTTTGACGTTCTCGGATACCGTTCGACTCTCTTTCCCTGTCGTTTTATTGAGTTACGCAACGACACGAAGAGAAAGCAGTCGGCCAGGTTCTTTGTCTATCGGGCCATCTGTCACCCCGAAGAGTCGACGTCTCTTGTCAAGAGGGTGTGCACGGACAACGGCGTGGGCGTTTAACGGTTAGACGGCCTACTTGTGTTTGTAAATGGCTGGCCGTTTCTCGTCTGAGCAGACGGTACGCCTGTATATTCCCACGGAACGACGATACGACGTGATACGGATCGTGATAAAAGGGAGATAGCGCGACAAGTAGGAGCAAACCTCTGGGATACGCGTGTATCGGGTATTGATTTTCCTCGTACGGAGTTACGGCAACGAGGTAAGCCGAGACGCGACAAAGTTTATTAATCCTCGGGGCAGCAGCCGCGTCTGCGTAACCCCGGCTATGGCGGTTTTATGGGGATACGAAAGTTTTCATTTCGTTTCGATCGCTGCTGCGAAAGGATTCCCTGTTCGTTTAGTTTCATTTCTATCGGTAATAAAATGACCTTATCTAGGGTCACGCGAAATATTTATTTTCTCACAGAAAATGATCCTGATCCTAGAAATAATTAAATAATTAACCCTTTGGCATAGAGGGTCGATGAGTTCCAGGAGAAATTTTCATTTCGCATATCTTGCTTAATATCCGAAAGACGTTAAAATAATAATTTACAAACTGAAACTCATGCCATTGATATTCATCGATCTCCCGGAATCTTTTGGCATCGCGTCGGTGGGTGTCGTTAATTCACTTAGCTGAAAGTTTCGTCTTAACTGCCGGCTGCCGTATAAATTGGTCAGCCGAAAGGCGCGACACACAGGAACGGAGGAAAGGAACGCGGGAGAAGGACGAACAGGGAACATCTAATACATCATAAACTTGGGAACAAAGAGGAGAGAGGATGTCGTAGCAGCGCCGGAGAATCCGCCAGCTCCGGTATCCTCGGGATGAAACTTTGTCTATTTGTTAAGTCTTGCCAGCCGAAACTGTCTCAGATACTGGCATCGAACTATGCCTCACACCTATGACCTCTTTAGTATCATCCTTCTTCGTTCTAAATCTCTCTGTATGTATACTCCCCTCTGATTCTTTGTTCGAGTGCATCCTTCGTTGGGACGTTGAATAGTCGCCAGGAAGACATTCTGATTCTTGAAATTTCCTGAGAAATTAATGTAAATCGATAAACACGGAGAGTTACTTAGGGAAAAATTAATTAAAAATTATTATAATAAAATTAATACTGAATACTTTTAATATTTGACTACTTATGATAGAAGTGTTTCCTCTAAGGGTTGGTCTATGTTGAGAAACTGAGGGTCAACTCAAGGCTTTTTTAAAATGATGACTTTTTATTTTGAGAGTTTACACCAAGCAGGTTGGGAACAGAAGGAAGAGTGCTATTCATACTGCATTAAGAAAATTACGAAAATTCGGAAACAAAGAATTTTTGGGGGAAAACAGGAAATGAACTTGAGACTATCCAGATGCTATTTTTTCTGTACTCGTTCCAACAAAAGCTATTCTTCTGTATCAAGAATATTTATAAAATCCTTACGTAGAAGCTAATTTTTGGCAAACCTTCAAAATTGACCATTTAATATTTCCATAGAGGGACACGTTTTTCTTTATGCGAAACAACATTTCCCCTTCAAAAGCGTAACAGTTCTAATTGTACAGGGCTATGTAAATTAGTTGCAAAACAGCGCAACTATTTCACAGGCAGGTACCAGTCGCCAACTGAATCCGTACTGGAACGAGAATTCCAAATTAAAAAGTTCACCGTCCAACGTGGTCATCTGCATCTAAATTTTCTCCGGCGCAAGTTCGGCCCGGCTGGTCGCGCCGTTTCAAAAGGATTTTCACCGTGTCCAGAGGGACAACTCGAAAAAAAGGCTGATAAAATTTTTTACCATGCCGATGTATGCGTGATCAGAATTCGCGAAGTTTCGCGCATCTGGTTCGAGGCAAAAGTTCGGAGCGCGACACCCGCACATGACATCGCTGTGTCGGAGGGTGTATCGGTGGCTGCTGGCGAGCTTCGGGGGGGGGGGGGGGGGGGGGGAGGGGGTGGTTTCATTGTGACGACAATATCGCCTTGGGCGGCATTGGCGAGGCAGAGATGCAAATTTCGTGGAGGACAACTCTGTACTATACGTTTTCATCTCCTCGAACGATGAATTCGGCAATACTGCAAGGAATCCTACGTAATAGAGTTTAATTCTTTTAAATTTCCCCTGAGATTATTAATTTCTATCTTAAGAATTAGGAGATCATATCTTAAAATTTCAAATACAAATTAGCTTTAAAATTATTAACAAAAAATATTTTATATAATTTAGAAAATAACACGATTGTGATCTTTTCGTTTCAGGGGACAGCATCTTTCACATCGCCACGGCAACGTTCATCGTAAGTACCCAAATTTTTGAAAAATCAATTTTTCAAGTAAAAATACATCTTAACCACTTTTCAAAGAGATCACCTTAAGTATGAATTCTGAAAGACGCGAGAAACTACCCTAACCGCGATATAAATGAAAAAGATAGGGTAACGTAGAATGCGATAAAGCTTATCTGGAAAGAAGAAGAGTAATCGTTGGTTGCATAGGGTCGTCGATTTCTCAGCGTTCTACGCCAATGCGTGCATATACGAGTGCAGGGAACGGGTTGACGGAGGGGGGAGGGAAGGGGTTGACAATGCAGCTGCGACGGGGTGGCAGCTTCGTGGTCGTCGTCGTAGCCGTCGTCGTCGTCGTCGCGGCCGTGCAATGTCAGTGGCGATAGCGGAGACGAAGTAGGAAGAAGGGTGGTTAGACGTGCGGGGAGTGAGCGAGCAGAGGGTAGGCAGGGAGGGTTGGAAACCGGTAAACGGAGGTGGAGACGCTCTAAGGTACATAATCATGCTTGCTGATTCCTTCTCTAATAAAAGTCTCACTGTCAGCCCATCCCCAACGGGTTGTATCTCACCCCCTTCCCTCGGTTCCCGCCTATCCTCCCCTGCCCGTAGATCTCGCAAGTCGGCGCACACGCGTCGCGTAGACAAAAGTGCATGTGTGCCTGGCAGCGTAGTAACTGGGTCCGCGAGATGCACCCTTGCGTGTACACCGAGTTCCCGTGACGGAGATCGGGGCTGAGCCGGTTGTGTAAGAAGACAAAAGTAGCTTGGTATACGGTATCCGGGAAGGGGTAACGAAAATTACGCGTGATACGGGTCAGAAATGCTTGCCGTAGCAGCATCTGAGGTTGCAATTTTTTTCATCTCCCGATATCCACTCGAAGATTTACGCATTCTCGTACATGCATCCGTCCCGTTTCGACTCCGCTCGTTTCTGCTTCTCTTTAGTATTCCCCGCTTTCAACCTGGCCGCGGCTCGTCGATATCGATAAGGACCTATGGCGACGAGCACGCCCGCATCCACTATACAGAGGTAGACGATTCCTTCGAGATCCGTATCCGGAACGATTTGCAAATTAATTTGGCTTTGTCGGTAGACCGTCGACGGTATGCTGATCTTAGTAAACAGCACACTGCACGCTGGATATCCTCTGTTTATGTAATGTTAATAGGTATCCTATGCAGCCACGGATTTACTTGTGTGCACCCGGTGATGCGAATCTGATTTGCTTCTGAGATGTCAGGGAATTAGGATGCATAGAATCTTCACTTAAAGCGATAACGATTTCTAATCTGCTTCGTTTCTTGAGTCTTGAAAATTTCAAATAAACAAGTACGCGAAATTAGAGTTAAAAGAATATAATTTCGAGAAAGCAAGTAGAGTCTAAGCGGTCATCGGAATCAAGGTATCCATTAGCCTCGATACAAAGGAAACACCGGCTCTGCCGGCCGGAAACGTGATCCAAGCGCAGGGAACAGAAGAACGTATGTAAGCATATCAAAAAATAAAGAAGGTCGGAGCGTTGAATGGCGCGGTTATCCTCGGGGTTGTTAAGGCGAGCCAAGGGTAAGGGTACAGTCTCGGTGTCTCAGTGTCGATTTTTAAAGGGCCAAGCGTTCGAGGGTCCTTGGCCCAGACAGGTCTCAAGGTGCATGTCTCTGGTGGATTTAAAAGGCCCTCAAGGTGGTTGTGTGTAGGGAAGGAACCAGATGGCTCGACCTACCCCACCTTGCCTCGTCCTTCTGCTTCTTCCACCCACGTGTCTAGGTGCTCGAGTCGGTCTCGACATGAAAATGGATTTTCTTTCGCCCCCTCCCTTCTTCTCATCCTCTACTTTCTCTCTCTTTCACGTTTTATCTGCCGCTACAGTTTCATTCACGAGACCGTTTCTCTCCCTCATCTTCAGGGGGGCACCCGTTAATAACGTATCTTGATGCGGACGAGAGAAACTCCATCGTTCGACATATGTTCGAAAGTCATTGTGCATCGCACGTGAAAAAGACGATACGGTTGTGTGCTGGCTGGGTCGATCGTGAACATTTTCGATGCGGTTCGTTTTCGAGGTTGTTAAGCTCCCGTTAGAGAGGCGCGTCTCGAAATTGGGGCCGGATATCGTGGAGAGGCCAATCTGTCACGATGAACCGAAGAATCGGCATGCTCGCGAGGGTGGATGAAGAAAAGATAGGGAGAAACACTGTTGGATAGCTTTCGTTTCTTTTCTAGACGAGCCACTTTGTTCGACGGACCGTTGAATCCACGTGATTCCGTGATAAATTGTGAGAGGCACGCGCGATACTCGAGGGCGTAACGGAGTTTCAGGTTGAGAGGCGAGAAACGGTTTTCTCGCCAGATGTTATTAAGAATTTTTGAGAATTCATTTTTTGGCTATTCATCTTCAATTTTCGATATCCAAGTCGGCTGTGAGAGAGTCCCGATTTTAATTCGATTTTGCTCCAAACTCAAGCAATAATAATATTATTAATACAATTAGTATCAAATATAATAATGGAAGAAAACAGCTTGAGCAAACAGTGTATCCCAATTTCGAAGCAGAATACAAATCGAAATTGGCAAACTTTCCAGGTGTAAGGTTCGGAAAAGATACGTTTCGGCACGCGTTCGGGGCAGGAAAGCAAAAGGTACAAGGTTTTACGATCAGGACATTATGTTTACTACACGAAACGCCCCCGCAACGCCTCGCCGGAAGACCGGATGTCTCGTGCTGAGAATTAACGGGACGGATTTACAAGCGACGACAAATCGCCCCTGTAGTTCTTCTCTTTCAAGGAACGCGTGAAAACGCTCCTCTTTCTCGTTACCGACCACTTTGGAACAGTTTAAGAGGGCTCGGCCACTTGCCAGTAATACCGGACAATGAAAAGCTTGGTCCCGTTTTCGCACCTTTGTACATCTTTATAGTAACCGCTATAATTAGCTAGGATCCTTTCTGGAGCTTGTAAATAGGAAGCATTCCTAAATGTCCCCGTCTCCTTTGTGGCTCGTTAATGGAGCAAGCGGCTAACCGTCCGATTGAATTGAAAAGCACAATAATATCCTTAACAAGCAGCAAATCTTTGTCAAAGGAAGATCCTTCCTTCTCCTTCGAATTTTCACCAATTATTTGCAAGCGAAAGGCAAACAGTTCGTGAATAGAAATCTTTCTTCAGATACACAAGATTAGTTTGCCCATTGAATTCGATTCTTTTAGAAAATAATATATTAGAAGCTGTTGGTTTACGAAGGGGCGCATCCCGATGCGACGACAAATCGATCGAAAGTTCGTCACCTTAATAATCTCTTTCTGTTTTCTCGCCGGCCCGTTCCCCCTTCACGGTGTTGTACACACCGCGCGAGGGAGCAGCCGGGCGTCTGGCCAGACGGAATTTCAATGGGGCACACGGTGGCACCCCACGGCAGTTCCGTCCTCTAATGTGGAAGTAGCTCGTGCTACCTGAGCAGCTGCACGTGTGTGTGCGAGGAAAAGGGGACTCCCTTGACAGAAATTTTATTTTATTTTGCCTTACCTTATGGGCCGGCGAAGAAGGGGGGAAACGTTAACCAGAGGGTGAAAGAAAGAGGGAGGTAGCAGGGTGTTAGACGAAGAAAGGAAGGAGGCCCCATGGGTAGACGCCGCCAGGTACCCTGTGGGCCTAACGTCATGCTTGAGAGGGGTACCATCTGCCCCCCCTAACGAGTGTGTGACGTCAGGTGTGACGACGTGTGCTACAGGCAAGAAGTGTCTTCTGCTCGGGCCCCCCATTTTTCTACGTACTCTTATTCCTATATGCTTAAGCTCTCGATTTATGTTTCGACGAAACGAATATTCGTTTCGTGAACTTTGGCACCGCGTTTCGGCGGCCGTCCATTTGCCGCGATTGTGCCGGCCGCAAAAATTGTCTCTTTCAATTTGGCCGGTGTCGGTGTACCTACCTATAAAATATGAAGTTCGGGGCTTCACGGTTAATTGTATTGGCGTCTGAAGGGTCGCCTTTTCAATTCGCGAAATTAATTTCGCGGACTGCGCGCGAGACCGTGTCGCCCTATTGATTGGAAAGTTTACGCTCGCCGCGGATGCCTATCGATCTCCACTTCACGGAACTTCGCTGTCGCGTCTCAAAGCGAAAATGGCGCAAAGCGTTTTGTTTTTTTTTTTTTTTTTTTCTTTTTTCACGCTACGGATCATTCTTTCCTATAATTAATCATTCCGCGAAACGGACCACGAAGCCGTATCGATATTTTTCACGACCGGTCGCATTGAACGTAACCAAAGCGTTTTCAGGCTGGACGAACGGGTTAAACGGAAATATAAAGTCGCGAACTTTTCGAGGGCCAACAACGAGTCAGAGTCACGTGCACCTTGTGCCCGTTTAACGCTTCGGTTACGCTTCGAACTTTGACGAAGTAGAAAAATGGTAGGGATAATTACCGGTTCCGAATTTCCGGAAGTATAGTTAAATATACCGGCCACTTTCACGACGACTTCCTTCCTTTAGCCTTATCCGTTTGCTGAAAGTTTATTCAAGCAAAGGTTAAACCCTTTTTCATCGTTCTCTATGATATTGCCTTTTGATCGATAATTTTCCTTTGAATTGAATTTTTTTATAATTTTAACCGCTTTTCAGCGATTTCAAGCCCATAATATTTGTAGGGAATGTGAAAGGTGTAAGATTGGAAATTTTTTAATTTTTTCTTTTTCTAGAGAAATAGAATTTTTCTTCAAGCGTTGAAAATGTAAACTGTTTCGATGGAATATTAATTTGTATGAACGCAAACGTTCGATAGATATATTATTGAAACGATTACGGTGTGGCGCGACTCACTTTTATCACAGTAGGCGTATTTCGTATCTTTAACAAGACCGTTAAATTGTTCTTTATCACAGCACGGCACGGCATTATCGTGCTGGGCGGCTTCTGGAGATATATGCACGCACACTTACTTTTTTTTTTCAGCACGCCCAGAAAGGCTGCGCGTGATTTCTACTGTTTACAAAGAACATTCATATTCGAAGAGA